GTCTCACCGGAGGCTGGGCTGTGAGGCTCCGCGGAGGCCCCGCTGGGGCCTGGCCACGCGCACCTAGGGCCCATCGCTGGTATCAGGAGCGGCTTCTCCCTTTCCCTTTTTCTACTCCCACCTTTTTCTTCCTTTCCCATTCCTGTCTCTGTTCTCGCCATCTTATCGTTGCCACGATTGATGACTAAACTTGTCAGTCCTTCCTTCCCCTTACTTTTTGGGGAAGTTCAGTTTAGCAAAATATATGAAACTATTAACCTCACTTCACTGAGCATTGATGGGTAGCATTTAAATGATTTAATCTTAATTTTTTAAAAACGACATTACATGTTATTCATGTCTTAATACTCGCCTCTTTCCACAACTCTTCTATGTCCTGTTGACCAAGAAAAATTCAAAAGCCAGGGAAAAGTAGGTAACTTCTTTACCAACTCATGAACTTGCAGAACTCTTCACGTAAACAGCTCCCCAAGCCCAAATACCTGTGCACAGATTTTGCTTTGAAATCTGAAAAAGACTGTGGCAAATATTTCTTAAAAATAAGGAAGCTGTCAGCCACGAAGCACAGCGATGCTGTCGTAAGTGACCGTGCAGATGCCTCCCGAGCGGGTGTTTGAGGGGTTGCCTGGGAATGAGATTGGTGGCCCTGGGGCATGTACGTGGTCGACACCTTCTGGCACTGATGCCCAGCACTTCCCCAGGGACTGTGCAGCTCACCCCCTTTGGTTGGCAGGCCTTTACTCACAGGTCACCTCAGCACTTGGTATGATGCTGTCCTTTAAATTTTTGGTTATTTGGTACGTGTGACATGTGTCTCATAATAAGGTCAGGCGATTTTTTTTTTTTTTCATGGTGCCTGAGTAGGTACCACTTACACAAAGCCTAACCTGGGACACCTCCGAACAAGCAGGCCTGGCCTGGGCATGTCTGTCCCGGGCAAGAATGACCCTGCGACACTCCATCTTCGTCAATCTGGTGGTGTCACCGTATTAGAATTACAGGTGAAAACAAGAGGTATCAGGCTGACAGGAAAGAATAGGACAGAGAAAAACCAGTGTTTCTCTGGGGACCCTGCCCCTTTCCCAGCCGCACTCCTCTGTCGGGTGCTCGGGGATTAGGAGGGAAACACACCTCGCGAGAGCACCACCCTTCTGTTTCAGTATGTGCTGTAATTAATGCCCCAAGTGAGCCAACATCTTGTATTTACTAGAAACAAATTTTAAAAGAATAGAATGTTGCCCTGGCTGGTGTGGCTCAGTGGTTGAGCCTCGACCGAGGATCNCGGTGTGGCTCAGCGGGTGAGCCTCGACCGAGGATCCTGGAGGTCAGAGTTCGATTCCCAGTCAGGGCACAGGCCCGGGTTGTGGGCTTGATCCCCAGTCGGGGGTGTGCAGGAGGCGGCTGATCAATGACTCTCTCATCATTGATGTTTCTCTCTCCCTCTCCTTTTCTCTCTCTGAAATAAATAATAATACTAATAATAAAAAGATTACATATGAAATTTGAAATAATTTTGATAGTAAAAATAATTTTTCTTTCATAATTGCTGTTTTATATGCAATGATTTTGCTGTGTCTATATATTTACTCACTAAAAATCGATTACCATAAAATTTAGGGAACCTTGTGTCACCTTACTTTCGTCGTTCTTACTTTTACTATTTATTTATCATTGCAGATTAAAAAAATCAACAGGAACTTCCCTGTAAACCAGCAGGTAAGATGGAAAAATATTGGAAAGTCAAATTATATACGTCTTTCCTTTTATTTATTATAGAAGATAATCTTGATTGAATTTAATTATGTAGAAATAATTGGTACTATTATTAGCTACCTTCAGGAAAATACATAGTTCATTAGATTTCTTTCATATTATGTGATATATCTGTTTATCTATATATCGCATTAAAAGTAGTTTCAAAAAACTTTTATCTGCCTGGCCAGCGTGGCTCAGTGGTTGAGCGTCGACCCATGAACCTGGAGGTCACGGCTTGATTCCCAGTCAGGCCACGTGCCCGGGTCGCAGGCCCGATCCCCAGTAGTGGGGGGGTGGGAGGCAGCCGGTGTTTCTCTCTCCCATCATCGATGGTTCTATCTCTCTCTCTCTCTCCCTCTCCTTTCCTCTCTATCAGATGTAGGAAGAGATGTTCAAATTCACTAACTATTGGGGAAATACGATATTGTTCTCACAGGCTTCCTTGCCTCTTTCCTCACTTCCTTCCCACGCGAGTGATCCCGCTCGGACACAAACCAGGCAGATCAGACTCTGCCTCTCCCCTGCCGAGGTCCTCTAATGACATAACCATCGCTCAGAGAGGAGGCCAGAGTTCTCCCAGGGCCTGCAGGGCCGGCCCATGTGAGGTCGGGTCCTTTCTGACTCACGATCAACTCTCCTAAGTCACTTTCCTCTAACTATAGGGCCTCGCAACCCCCTCAAATAGTCCTGTTCAGCTCTTGCCTCACAGTCTTTGCCTTCGTTGGCCCCTCTGCCTTCATTTTTTCCCCCTNCTCCCCCTAGACAGACATGTGGGGATTATCCGGTTCTGTGAAGCCTGCACTCAGATGTCCCTCCGTGAGACCTCATGCAACCGCATCTAAATTTCAGACCCTTTGCAATATTTCCTATCTTCCCTTCCCTGTGCTTTTTTTTTTTTTAACTGTTTTCCTTGGGATGTCTTATTCTTTAACAGCCTATATTTTACTTTTTTTCTTTTTTTATTCTCAATCACTCCAAGTGGAATCTAAATTATATTATTGCATTGTACTTAATTCGCTGCTGTATCCCCAGTGTTTATGACACAGGCTTGACTTAACTCCTGTCATTTCGTCTATGTGAGAAGGAAAAATGTCCAGGTTACCCATCATCTGAAAGCATTACCTTTACGCACAGAGAGCTTGGATGCCGTTATGTCTGAGATATCTCTTTGCCAGACAACGAAAATCTTCAGTTTTACTCTTCCACTGTGAGTCTAGATGGCCTACAATTATTTTAGTTGTCAGAGAGGAATCGATCTAAGATGAACAGTGCTTTTCAAATAGGACTGACGTGTGTTGCCAGAAAACAACCGTCCTATTTCCTGTTAACACGCTTGGCCCCCGCTGCCAAGCCTACCTGCTTTTATGTGCTGACAGTGGTGTCTCTTTTTTCTCTCCCGATGGCCACTCTCCAATATACCCTGGCACAGTCCCAGGCTGCTTAATTTCCATGTCTTCAAAAAGGCCTTTCTAGCCAACCCATGTGGTGACAAATCAGAGTAATTGCCACAGTCCCCGGTTTGAGGGGCTTTGGGCCATTGCAGTAATTGCTGGCTCAGCCGTGGTTTTCAGGGAAGCAGCTGGCAAGAGAGGAAGGAGATGGTTTTCTACGGCTGACCCAAAAATGACAATAGGTTCATCTGTAAGCGCGTAATCAACCATATGCCCTTCTACCAGAAGTGGAGATTACTTTCTGCTGGTTTCAGAGCGGTCGGGGTACGCTGAGCTCATTTTGTAACTTCTCTTCCATGTTTAGCTCTCCTTTAAATTTATTTTATTAAGATTTCTCTTAGAGAAATATTAACAAAGCAAAAATCTTGTGAAAGTGCCCCCCACCCCCCGCCCAAATAAAATCCCCCAGTGAAACATTTATCAGACAGTGGGCGACTGGCATGGCAAGGCAGTGGGTTTGGGCAGAGAAGTATGTTCCTGGAAAGGACTGATGCCAAATAGCATCATGGGCTGTCAGGAGACATAATCTAGCCTGTTACTGAACTGAGTGGGCCCAGCTTCTGGGAGTGGTGTCTGCGGAATGCAAAGAACAGTAGAAGGTTCTCATTAGAAAGCGGGTGAGGCAATTCCAGGACTCGAGTGCAGTGTTCCACAGTGAGGCTTCTCTCCAAGAGGCAATGAAACCCGACAGCGAATGGGTCTGGGCGGCCTGTCGCTACTTGAGCCAATTAAGCAGAGACAGGGTTGAATCATACATGAGCGTTCATTCCAATAATGCCGGCCGCGTGGGAGAGCAGCAGGATCATCCACATAAAACCTGCTCTGCTGCTCTCCACACGCCAGCTGCTTCTATTGGGCAGAAGGACAAAGATTACATGGGAGAGTAAGAATTACAGGCGTGGGGGAGTATGGCAGGGTTACAGGCAAGGTGGGCTGGGGGTCGCAAATGGTGGGCGCCTCTGGGACTCCGCGGTTTCGGGAATGAGGCTGTTAATCTTTCCATGATGGTAGGAGGTTCTTGGAAAAGGAGAATGACCTGCATTCCAGGCTAACTCCCACGTCCCAGGGTGTACAAGCCTCAGCCAGGTTAGAATGTGCTTTCTCTAATCAGAACAGAACAATTGGGGTCAGCAGGGCCTGATTAATATTTCTTATAACTACAAGTGGTCCCCACTATTCTATTTCCGCCCCTAACAGCAGTGGAGTGGGTACTGTGGGAAAACCCCACTGAGGGACACTGTGGTCTCGAGGGCCGCATAGTGTCATGTGCACAGGCACAGTTTTGTCAGAGACCTTCCAGGAACATTATAGAAGGCAGACTTGCGGATTTGTCGGATGCTGCTGATGTCGCTGTCTAAAAGAATATGAGGCCATGTGGAACATAAAGATGATGGTCATTTGGGTGACATCACATCTCCTCTCCCTTGATTTAGGGACTTGAGATTAATTCTGAAATTCGGCCAGGTGAGGAGGGCTGTGAGATGAGAGTGCCACAAACCAGAACTCCTCGGTAAATAATTTTCTTTTCATTATCTTGCCTTTTGTCGGCATTTTAGATTTCCGTGGCCTTGAGAAACAGCTGTCGCTCCCAGGTGCTTTTAGTTGTAACATTTAAAATTCTGCTAGGTATCTATGTGTGCACACACGTACATGCCCGTGTGCACATGCACACACACATCACAAGGGAGAAAGATGGTCTTTTTAGGATGGAGCTGCAGTTGGTGTTTATGCTGATTCTGTACACAGTGACTTAAATTCACTTAATTCTGTGCTCCTCTTTTCAGCTGTGTATAAACTTCTGGAAAATCCTTATATTGCATTGCAGTTTCAGTTATTCTATTTCTGTTGCTAGACATAGGTTTTATTTCACAATTTCCAGTTATCTGCTACAACTTAGGAACTAGTCATCTAAATTTTAAACATATATCGATCAAAGTAGTAGTTTTAAAGTTTGGGTTTGATACCTCCAAAATTTGAGTCTCCTGTGTGTGTATGTTTCTTCCCCTTATTGTCTGTTTTATCCCTTGGTTTTCTGAATTATATTTATTTTTGTCCCTTCGTATGACTTCTAAATATTGGTTAAATAGTAGACATTGCTCATAAAAATTATAGGCATAACTTGAGGCTTGGAATGATGTTATTTTGCCCCAGAGAGGATTTACTTTTATTTTTGGCTAAATAAAATCAGAAGTACAATTTAACTAGTCATGATCAGGTCTGAGTGCTTATGAACTAGGCTACAGTCTTTATGAGGTCTGGCTTATTACTCATTTATTTTTACTTATATGTTGTATCCTGTTGAGTTTTTGTTTTTAATCTTCGCCCAATGAGTAAGGATATTTTTTCCATTGATTTTTTAAAATATATATCTTTATTGATTTCATAGAGAGGAAGGGAGAGGGAGAGAAAGAGAGATAGAAACATCAATGATGGGAGTCATTAATCAACTTCCTCCCACGCGCCCCTGACTGGGCATTGAGCCCGAAACCCGGGCATGTGCCCTGACCGGGAATTGAACTGCAATCTCCTGGATCCTAGGTCGATTTTCAACAGCTGAGCCATGCCTGGCCCAGCTTTCTATTGATTTTTAGAGAGCGTGGAAAGGAGAGGGGAGATGGAGAGAGAGAGAGACATCAATGTGAGAGAGACACATTGATTAGTTGCTTCCCACACATGCCCCAACCTGGGGCAGGGATTGAACCTGCAACCCAGGAACGTGCCCTCGACCAGTGACTCATTTCTCTGCACTTTACTTTCCACCAGGAGCTGAGCCGCCTAAGCCTTTGTGCCTTGGTAACAGTGCAATGCCTTCTTTTTTTTTTTTATCACTGTAATATTTTTAAATTACATTTATTGGAGCGACATTGGTTAATAAAGTTATATAGGTTTCAAGGGTACAAGTCTATGATGCATCATCTGTATATCATCGTGTGCCCGCCACCCAAGGTCAAGTCTTCTTCCATCACCATATATTTGGTTCCCTTTACCCTTGATTACCCACTACAACCTTTCCTGTGGTAACCACCATACTATTCTGTGTCTATGAGTTTTTGTTTGCTTACCATGTTAGGCAGCTGTGAACAAAAATAAAACCAGAGTATGTTGACTAAGGCTAACCCCACTTGGAGGGCCCTGGACTTGACTTTATGCCCTAAAACTGAGGCTGAAAAAGTATCTTAATCTTTTATGGCTTCTTCTGTATCAGAAAGTGCCCCTGTGGCAAAAGCTAATCCACATCTGGACTCACCTCTATCAACCAGTTATAAAACTAAAGCAAGTTACATGATGTAGAAAATGTGTTCTCCCAGGTACCTCTACCACGTAGACTGTGGTAAGAGATAAACAAAATGATATATGAATATTCTTCAGGGAATGTAATATTCGTTAAATAATTGTTTATGTACATGTTTGACCTTTACCTCAATCAAATGATGAAAAGGGGAGTAATCTTTAATTTCCTTTTGGAAATTGATCCACCCAAATTTAAGAGCTAGAAGCAGAAGAGTTGTCGTCGCTGCCCTCCGATGTATGAATAACGCTTGAACAATCTTAGTCGTCTTAGATCAGTAGCTAGACCAAGAAAGGCCCGGGGAGATGTGGAGACGCGGACCCCCGAGCGGTAATAACGTCTGATATCTCTGGCTTATCTTGTTACCCACTTGTGCCCAGACAGTGAAAGGTCACGAACTGGTAAAGAGATGGTATAAGTCAATGAATTCTATTACAGATAAATAATCTCATAGTACAAATGGTAGAAAGTGGGAGGCATAATTCATGCCAAGCTGGACTGCGTAAACAAATAAACACCTGGTAAGTGCTCATGGAAACATGCTACAAATTCTTATTAGTGGTTCACATATACTTTTTGAAGGCAAATCTGGTTAATGTGCTTTTTGCATCAATTAATTTGATAATTTTATTAGAGCGTTAAGATATAAAAAATACACATAATACGTCTGATATGAGACTTTTTTTGCAGTTATTATATTCAATTTCCTTGCAGATAGTCTACATGGGTTGGTGTGAGGCCCGGGAGCAGGACCCCCTGCAGGACTGTGTGTACTCTCCGATATTTCTAGCCCTGAGGGGTTCGTGTCTTTACAAGTTTCTGGCACCTCCGGTAAGTGTTTTTGTCCAACACTCTTATTTTCCCATATTATCACAACAGAGCGACGCCAACTTAACAATAAAAAGTAGCATGCTGCCAATATATTTTGAAAATAAGCCACAGGAAAAAATAGAAAACAGTCCGAATGTTTTTGAACATATTTTGCTAAATATATATGTCATCATTCAGTGTTATTTTATAACCATTGAAAAATCTAGAAGCCTTTTCTATTTAGGCATTTATGACAAGCAAGATATGTTTATGTGGTACAAGTCTGTCTACAGTAAATCAATAGTATTTTTGATGTCCTACATGCTAGTCGGTGGGCTTTGCATTAGACATGTGTGGGTATCCATTGCACCTAATATCTTGCTTTTGAAACATGTACCTTACACAATAGTGATTCTCAATAAATATTTATTGAATATAAATATTCAATGTCAGGCCACTCACATACAAGCCGAATGATGGGTAGGGTCTGAGAATTATCAAGTCCCACTTGCTGCCATTTTTAATGTCTATGTCTATACAAAGTTCAAAACACCAGGGAGGCAGGTTAAAAAAAGCCATTAATATTTACATCTACTATATTACTACTCTGAATAATTTCTTATGACTGGAAATATAGATATGTGGTTCAAACTTCAGCAAGTTAAACAGTTTCATTGTTTGAAAGCGCTTGATGTCTTCATAATTTTGTAAGGTGTTCTCACCTCTTAGAATGACTACTAATATAAACTATGCATTTTTAAAAAATCAAACTCAGTGTTGCTATCTAGTAATCTTCTTTGTAGGTATCGAGTGGTAAACTAAAAAAAAAAAAAAAATTACTAGTGTGAAGTAGACATACTTAATATTTATTTGTAAAGACTGCACACATTCTTTAAAATGTGTAAAGACATTGGGCCAGTAGAGATTGTTGCCCGTAACATGAGATATTTGCTGAGAGAGGAGGAGAAACGGGGGTAGGGCTTAGAGGAGGGGAGGCCACAGCTCTGCACGAGCCTCTCCGCGACACTCGCCACCGAGAGACCGCGCGGTGCGCACGGGACAGGCCCCCGGGGGGCACAGCACACAGGTAACAGAAAGGGGAACAGGAGCTCTTTCTCAAGCACATGGCGTATCACTTTCTCGTTTTTTGAAGGTGACGACGTGGGACTGGACCCGAGCAGAAAAAACATTTTCAGTTTATGAGATCATGTGCAAGATTCTCAAGGTATGATCCATAGGTAGCAAAAATTTTAATCATTTTTCCTCAGCAAACAGTGGTTTTGGCTCATAAGTAGGGTCTGAAAAGAAATGATGCATTGTTATAAAAGGAAATATAAGATAAAGACAAATAATATATATGCACATAATTTATATCTACAAGTAAATTATATATAACATATATATATAGTCCCCCAAGATGCATTCGCACACTTTGAATAATTATAAAGGCAGTGTTTATTAAAATACAGTTCATGTTCAAAATTGAGCTGTCAGCTGTTAAAGCGTGCATCCATTTTGGGGGGACACCCCGTATGTAGAATATAACGCGGAGAGATGGGTCGGCGCCCTCCTACTGCCTGAGATGATTGTTAAGCAGATTCTGTGGGGAGGAAACAAGGAAAAGCCTGGCAGGAACCCGCTGAGGAAGGGGTAGGAAGTGCCCTTGGAAATAGTGAATTATTACCATAGCTTTTTTGCTGAGGAAAATACAGAAGAGAAAGGTGTGGATAAGTCTTTGATTTAGAAAATGTAGAAAATATGAAGGCACGTGCAAAGAAAGGGTATCTGTCTTTTTTAATTCTCAGGGTTAGGCTATGGCTCTGAGGATGCAAAACGACATACGACCGCTTTTAATCAGTTTCCGTGCTCTACACAAAACTGTTGCGATAGAAAATCATCGCGCATTCTTTAAAATTCCAAATGGTTTCTGTAGCCATTTTTAATTAAAAAACGGAATACTTTATAAGACTCAGTGATAATCTACGTTCCGTTTCTGCTCCAGGGACTGTGGGCTGGGAGTATCCGCGATCGATCATTAATTGGCCTTGCCGAGGTCGACCTCGTTTGTGCAAACAAGGCCGCGTTCCCTGTGTCTTGCGTCAGTCGTTTCTCTTCCAGTTAAAGACTCTGTGGAGGAGAAAATGCTGGAACATTTGCAACATAATGCAATGTATCAAAAGTGTCTGAAGCAGAGACAAAGAAAGATGATTACTTCTGAAGTGCTCATAATTCTTTCCTATAGAATGATTCTAGATAAAAGCTGACGTTTACAGTAGCACAGAAGCGAAATAAAAATATAGGTCACTGCGGGCTCCTCACTGTGCCTGGCGTTGCTAGCAAAAGCTGAAGCCAGGAACCCAGCTTCTGTTTATGGATGGGGTTCCGTGTCAATGCAGAGGAGAAATGTCATGAACCTTGAGGCCTGGGATTCTGGCTGCAGGGACCTCTTTTTTTTTTTAACTTTTATTGGAGTGACACTGGTTAGTAGAGTTATACAGGTTTCAAGTGCGCAATATTATCCTGCATCACCCGTGTGTCACCCCGTGTGCTCCTCACCCAAAGGTTAGTCTCCTTCTGAGCAGCGACCATTTTTAAGGAAGATTTAGTGACAGTGCCGAGTGCGGTCCCTGCCACCGGCCCCCCAGCCGCGCCCCGGTCGGCCTGACTTGAGGCCCAGGCGGCGGTGGGAGCTGGCGCTCGCGGCCCTAACCCCCGGCTTCCCGCAGGACAGCGAGCTGCTGGACCGGCGCAGGCACTGCTTCACCGTGCAGGCCGAGTCGGGCGAGGACCTCTACTTCTCCGTGGAGCTGGGCTGCGACCTGGCCCAGTGGGAAAGGGCCTTCCAGACGGCCACCTTCCTGGAGGTAGAGCGCATACAGGTGAGCCCCTGGAGCGCTCGGGCCTGCGACACGCTGGGGTGCCCTCGCTCCGAGCTCCCCTAGACATTCCAGTTAGCATGAAAGACTCTTCTCTGAGCCTGGGCCTCCTCAGACACACTGGCTAAGTAGCCATTGTGATGACGTGAACAGTAACGCAGCTCTGAGGAACATTTTCATTCCTCGGCCATTTGATCTCTCCAGGCTGTTTCCTACCAGGCATCAAAAGCATATTGGTGATTTTAATTAGAATCAGTTCCACTTTAAATCTAGAGTGAAAATGCTCTGATTTTAATTAATCCTTTACAAGACCGTTCCCTGTTCTCCAGTCATGATCACCTCATTTTCAGCTAAATGTTCATTTTTCTTGCCAGAAGGCCTTCATTTCATCTCTACCCTTCAAAACTACACACGGACTCCGACGCTTTTTTCATAGGTCATGTCATCTACGAAGATTTTGCTGATTTCCAGTTTATCCCGCCCACCGATGACCACTTATTACAGAAGCTTTCCCAGTCTTGGATAAATATTAGCTATTAATCCTGACCTGGGATCAAGCCGACGAAAAGTAACCGTGTTTTCTGTTCTGTCTAGTGCAAGACGTATGCGTGTGTACTAGAAAGTCATCTAATGGGACTCACGATTGACTTCAGCGCAGGATTCGTCTGCTTTGATGCTGTGACAAAGGTGATGAGTTCCGTCAGCTCTGGAAATGTTCTGCAGACGTTTTGATTTTAGAATGATTGAAATAACCAGACAGAGGACCGATAAGGAACTAGAGAACTTGACCAAGACTATTACCAACTCTACCCACAGAACATACAGGGAACCGTCCACCCAACAAGAACAGTGTGTACTTTGTCTCAAGTGCACGTGGAACATTCTCTGGAATGGACCATATGTAGGGACACAAAACAAGGAGTAATGCGTTTTTAAAAATTGAAATCATGCCAAGTGTCATTAAAGACTCCAATAAATAATAGAATAATAAGTCATAGAATTCATATTTAAAATTATGCTTTTATTCACATCGCGTTATGTTTAAGTGGATTATTGAATCATGTTAAGACCATGCACCAAAGTTTAATAAAAACACACAACAGTTTCCACTATACTGTAGCTTAAATGGAGCCCTCTCAACACGATACACTAGAATCACTGGCAAAAACTACAGGGTAATATTTTACTTTCATAAAATCTTTGGCCCATCTAGTCATGAGAAAAATATCAGACAAATTCCAACAAGGGGCATTCTACAGAATGTCTTTCCAGTACTCGTGAAATTGTCAAGGACAGTCTGACAAGAAAATGAGAGACTGTGACAGCCAAGGAGAGCTTACAAAGACGCAGTGAGTGAGTGTGACGTGGGAGTGGCTGGGAGCCTGTCCCAGAAAACATGATTAGGTTAAAACTAAGGAAATCTGAACAAATAATGGACTCCAGATAACAATATTGTCCCAATATTGGTTCCTTAATTATGACATGTATCATATTACTATGAGATATCGACAATCAAGTAAACTGTGTGTAGGGACATAGGAACTCTCTTTACCATCTTCTCAGTTTTTCTCTAAATTAAAATATATGTATATTCTCAGCCCCCCCCAAAAAAAAAATGTTTGGACCTGTCACTGGGGTTCCATGTCACTATGTATTCAAACAATTAAGAGCAGGGTTATGTTTTAATTAGCATTTTGGTTCTTATGAGGATTTAATATTAACTAAATCTGTTGCTGCAATACGAGAAGACGGTTTTGAGTCAAATAATCCCATACACTGAGATATGATAGCCTGATTGGGCTAGTTCTATAAAATGCTTATTCTAGTTCAATCTCATGATGGCGCCGTGTAAATTTTCATTATAATTATTTACTCAGGCTCGCTTTCATCTTGGTAAAGCTACAGGTTATTAGTTTGAGCTTAAAGAGAAAGTTCTACAGAATTATCAATTCAAAATCGCCTTATTTCTATTAATACAAAACAAAGAAACATATAATAGGTGTTTTTGTTTAGTCACTGGCATCGACATATGTTTTAAGTGAGCTTGTTTTTATTTCATGATAATATGAAACAAATTATTCAAATTTATTTATTTGTATATATTTTTTGGAATAATTATTTCATGGGTACATAAGTTATTTCTAGAAATAAAAGTATATCTTGAATACTAAATTATAGCTTTTGATGAATATATTTTAATTTACTTTTTAATACTGGGATATAGTACTAACTTAATATGATTACCCTTTTGCACTTAAAAGAACTAGGTTGTGGTCTGAGTGAAGATATTGTGTTGACTTGTGTTCTGTTTCTTTCCCTTCAGGCTGTACTTTGGAGGTATAAGTTTTCTCATCTTAAAGGCTCTTCAGATGATGGCAAGAGCAAAATCAAATTTTTGTTTCAGAATCCAGACACTAAACAGATTGAAGCAAAGGTAAACCCAAGTTCATCACATAAACCGCCTCTAACTACATTCGTACTGTTAGGAAGCAAAGGAGAGAAAATTTAGAAGGACCAGAAGGCAAAAGCATACATTCTCTGTTGACCTCAGACTGTGCCTCACAGCCCAAAAAATTAAAATTAAAGATTTTAATGGCTAATTTTCACTGAAAGGCATAACTTAAAGTCAATTTATGTACAGTAAAAGGCAGTCCTCTCCTTCCAGGTGTCTGTTTGGCTCACTCTTCTATCTTTTCGCCAAGAAAATGACTAAATGCATAGTAAACATCAACAAATATTTGTTGACTGAATGAACGAGTTTGAAGAGAATGTATGTTGAGTGTGGTAAATGGGGTTCAGAAGAGCTTCATCACAAAGAGACAGTAAATAACTGGGGGAGGGTCATCCACGGGGCTCAGTGGGGAGACGAACATGTCGTTCTGAAATTCACATTATGGGTGAGTGAAAGCAGGGCCCCAGCTCTATCAAAGTAATCCTTGGAGCCCCAGGAGTGGGTATCATTGTCAGAGGTGTCTGATTATTTCCAATTTTTTTTAAGAAATTTATTTTTATTTTATCTGACCCATTTTTCTTCTCAGGAGCTGGAATTTTCAAATCTATTTGCTGTTCTTCACTGCATTCATTCATTCTTTGCTGCCAAAGTCGCTTGTCTGGACCCTCTCTTTTTAGGCCACCAGGCTACTGCTTCTGCTGCGGCCACTTCTACTGCGACAAGCAAAGCAAAGCACTCGACCTGACCCGCTGAGCTTTGTGTTGCTACTGACCCTGACTGTATAAATAGAACAAACAGACTCATCAGTTTAGATCTGGGAGAAACAATAACATCATCGAGTCAAATGACCGTTTCAGCAGGAAAGGAGCGGCCACCGGGATCTGGAAGCGCTTCCGTCGGGGAGGCCGCAGAGGACCGGCCCAGGCGAGCGGGCGGCTTGTTCTCGCACCCGCTGGTTTCGGCCAGTGTCCTGCTCTCATCAAAACAACGGAGGCTTTGCATTGTGTAAGTAATACAAAAGTTGTAAACTCTCTGTAAATAAAATAAAAATACTAAATTTAATGGTTACTTCTGTGTTTTAGAATATTTTGTATGCAAAATACATGTTGGTTCAGATCATGAACTAATAGCCTGTGGTTTTATTACGAGTGACCTAAAGGAGGCAGAAAAACCATGGGGCAGCAAGGACACTAGCATGCAAAAAAACCTCATCAAAGAAAAAAGCCACTTTAATTTGCTGACGTAGATTTCTCCGTGTATTATCGCTTCATGATTTGACACAGACACGCCAGCTCTGTTTCTCTTATTGTGAAATATTTCTAAGAGTTGCAAAAGGGTGACCGCATTGACCTATGATGGGCTCAGTGTGAAATGAACTATTTCCTCCTCGGAAGACTCATACTCAAAGTTTTATTCACTGCTAGTGTCGACCACATACACCAAAATGTGTTCCTTTAATTGTGAATGAGGCAACATTCACGAACATCTTGTTCTGTCTTTCGTTCAAGGAGACTTGTATTTTGCCTGATGGAGTTTATTTTCAAATTAAAGTTTCATAAATTTTCAGGGACCCCAAAATTTTCCAGAAAAAAGAATATCAATAACTGTGGTGTGAGAAACAATTCTTTGTAATCCTAACCCTAGCTAATCGTAAACTAAAATGTTTCTAGAAAGCAGTCTCAAAGCGATTACTTATGTTAGTTAAATGAAATTTTTCCATTTTGGTAACGTTGAATGATAAAGTGAGGTATGAAAGTAAAGATTTTAAACTTCTACCTTACCATGTCATAAAAAATGATTATATAATTCTAAACAATGAAGGTTCTTTTAGGTGTATTTTCTTAGGAATGTAGTTTGTGAAGAGGCTGGAAATTTGAAAGCATTGGGGGGAGTGTGCACAGGACTCAGAGTCCAGATATTACATAACTATTTGTATAACAGGGAAAACATTTCCTGTCCTTCACTACAGCTGTCCTGAGATCTTTTAAACAGCCAGCTGCCTATTAAAAAAGGAAAATACGCTTTTTTTTTTTTTTAAATTAACGCACATGTTCCCAACCAAATCAAAATTGGACATTTCCACGTGAAAATGACCAAGTATCTAATAAGGTGGTTTGATTTATTTTTTAAGTAAGAGGAAAATATCACTGAAGATGGAAAAAGTGATTTGTAAAAAGGCACTACCATTATAATTAAAGAATTAACATCCAACTATTTCTATAATCATAGATTTTCACTTCACTTTGCATCTGATCAATTCTGAATCACATTAAATTTTTTTTTAAAAAGAAAGTTTCATAGTTTTACATGGGCAAGTGTTAAGTTGGGCCTAGGACATGTTACTTAAAAAACTGTGGAAAATTCAACAATATTAATAGAACTTATTTTGACCAAAAAACTAAATACATACCCGTAATTAGGGCAATATTGTGGAAATATTCCATATTTATTGATCACACATAACAGTCGTTTTAAATAAGAAGCCCACTGAAGGCAGGCTTTGCTATTGAACTTGTGGAGAAAGAAGAGAGGGCGACGTCTGCCCCGGGATGGAGGCAGCAGCCTCCAGGTCCTGATGGAACCCCGGCTACTGCCTGGCGTTGTGGCTCAGTGCGCCCGCCTGGGGTGGCACCCGTGTGCCGTCAGCGTGATGACCTGGTCTACAGGGAATACGAAACGGGCGAGTGAGCTGAAAGCAAAAACAGTTTAAAACTTTATGTGTCATGTAATTATTGAAAAATTGTCAGATTTTTAAAAGCTCCATTTAAGAAAAATACAAAAAGGCAATTTATTGAAATACCTTTTTTGTTACATCATAAAAATATGCCAGCCTCTGCTTGTGTGTGTGATGTAGGAAAAGATGCGCAATGAGACATGTATGGACATACATCTCCTTGTGCAACACACGCACACATGTGTATACGTATGTATATATAACAAAATGTTAATTACAGATGAAAATTATTTCAAATACATATACTTAATATCTGCATTGTAAATTGTAACTTGAATTAAAATTTATGATAATACTATATTTATTTTTGATACTATTGATAAAAAGGCCTAAATTACTATGTTACGTAATTAGGGGAGCAGCCACCTATTAAAAATATTATTCTACTTTTCATTAGTGAGCAAGTAGTATTTAACATCTTTTAAAACTTTTTGTAAGTGCAGTATAATTACACTTACACTTAATGTAGTTGGATTACTGAATGAGAAAGCATAGATATGAAAAATATTAAAATAAATCTCCATTTCTCACATAATTTTGATTTAGAAGCATTAGGCTTATTCACATTAAAACCTAGTTTGTACTGCAGAACATTTTAACAGCAGAATGTTTAATTTAGTGTTAACCCCTCCAGTGCCTTGGTATGTGTGTGTGCGCGCATCATGCATATATATGTACATATGTATATATGTATACATGTGTATGTATATATACACACATTTAAAGGGTTCATCCTAGTGTACGTAGTACAAGCCAAAAGAGAATATTGGTCAGATATAAGGTCAGAGAAGGGAGTTCAAGTATTTCAAATTTTGCTAACTACTGTAATAATGTACTTTGCCTGATGAAAATATAGCAATTCATGTAAGCTGAAGTAAATTAAAGCAGGGGCATTTTAAATTTGTTATATTGAAACAAGTATTTATTTAAAACTACTTTCATAGATAATGTAAGTGTAATGTGTATGCTAACATATGTCAGCCAACACTATTTTTAAGGGAAAATAATTAACTAATAACTTATTGCCCATTTTCCAGGCTTATAACCAACTTAGAGTTTGAAAGCCTTTGCTCACAGTGCTGTCATTTAGCAAGTAGAAAAGTCATTACTTGAAAATAAGTGTCACATCCATATTAACCACGGGAGCAGAGAAAACACTCGTTTGTATCCCGGCATTCCCCTCATTTCCGACAAAGCTTGCTCATGAACTTTGCGTCGAATGCTGGAGTTGAGAGAAGCTTGATTTGCTGTTGTGAAAAGTTCTGATCTAAAAATTATTTAGAATCACTGCTGGGAGTCAGCGGTGTGGAGAGCTTTAAAATAAGCACAGGGACAATCTTGTGCTTTACTCTTTAAGGTAAGTGTAGATGTTCTGATGTTAAAAACAAGTAGTTCGCTACTCTTAAAACTTCTATACTCCTGAGTTCTCCTTAAAGAACGGCTTTATCCATCCCTCTAAAACTGCTATTTATGATTTATTCTTCTTCCTCAGTACTTTAAAATTATAATTCACTTATGTGCACATCTGAAGTTACTTTTGAAGGTAAATAAAATATTGTAAATGTTATATATTTTATATGTATTAAAATAAAAGGAAATACCAGAAATATGAAATGTAAATATATTTATTTCATTTTTTATTGTTTTGGTGGATGTTTGTAAAATATAAATTCATATTGTGACAAAAACTTGTCACTGTGTTCCTTAAGTTTATTAATGTACTACTAATAAAACTTTTTTAATGAGGCATACTGAAAAATAAAAGCGAATACTCTTTACTACACTTGTGTTTTCACTTCTTGTGCTGGACGTGCATGTGTTAACCTGTGCTAAGAGCACTGTCCTGAGAGCTCTGTGCCTTGGGGGCAGACCTCTTGGGACAGGACCTGCTCTGGCTCATCATTATGAAGATCAGCTATCTGACGTCTATGAGGCCCTAAAGATGGGAGAAAGATGTTATTTGACAAAGTACTAGAACCACCACAGTTGCAACTTTTGAAAGCATGACAACTTTGGTATCTGCACAATGGTCCATGATAAACTGGATCTATACTGAGAAGACGGGTCTGACGGGGCCTGATGAAAATATTATTAATTCATCATCATCTGGTCGTTTGTCACTGAAAAGAGCTCATCCCTTCATGTCAGACGAGACCACAGTTGTCGCTCAGTAACTACAGTTCCATCAAATAGATGGATCGCATGAATCATTTAAAAGCAAGTCTGTTATCTATATTATTCCAGGAACCAAATGAACCTCTCTCTCATTTCTTATGTTTTCTATTTTTGTATAGAAAGAAAATCTGAAAAAAACAGTACATACTCATCACAGATTTTTTAAAGAACACAAGACACAAAAGATACATTAAATCTCACAACCGCGAAAACATGCACTTTTTATTTTAGGTAAGTGTTACGTCTATGTTTATATAGAGGTAAAAAAAATTAAATAAATAAAAATGAGCCGAGGTACAAGCACCCAGATTTAACCGCTTTATAAACCTATTTCCACAAAGATACAATGTAAAATACACAGATAACTCTGTTTGGGGGTATATGTGAACAAGAACAGCACAATGTGGGATTTTAAAGCTGACTGCACACCCCCGGCCCCTGACTAACCGGGGTTGAAAATCTCCCTGTGCCAGGCCAGTGTGGCTCAGCGGTTGAGCCTCGACCTAGGATCCAGGAGATCCGGGTTCGATTTGGGTTAGGGCACATGCCCCGGTTGCGGGAATGACTCTCTCATCCTTGATGTTTCTATCTCTCTCCCTCTCCTTTCCCCTCTCTGAAATCAATAAAGATATATTAAAAAAAAAAAAAAAAATCTCAT